GGTGACATTTTCAGTGACGTCTCAACCCTCGTTTAGAAGATGTAATTTGCTCTGGTTGGATGCTTTGCCTTGCACATTCCTTAGAAGCATGCAACTCTCGTCACTAGACGAGAGCTGAGTTCCACTTCTCCATTCCTTTAAATCGCCTTCCTTTGCTGGGAGCTGTTAGAGAAATATTGCCCGTCCTCCCCTGAAATAAACGTCTTTGTGGCACTGTTGCCACCAAGTACTCACGTTGCACACCAGAACAGCGGCTCTGTGGCAGACTTGATTAACGGCGGCGATCTGCTATGTACGGGCTCATTCGTAACATATCTTTCAGCTGTTTACATCACTTCTTGCATCCAGAGGATATAACTGCAAGACACGCAGTTCAACATGACGGGGGCGGGAAGTCCCTCCCTGAGAAGATCGCAGGACTCTGAGTCCAGAGGTCCTAGCTCACAAACTGTAGGCCGTGTGAAAGATTACTATTGCAAATGAGCATTTATTGTGAACAGCAGACGAGCCACTGCTTCAGCTGGCTAGCTCTCTAGCTTTTACTTGGCCTGACTTAGAGGTGTTCAGTAATAATCCCCGAGATGGCAACTTCACCCTCCAGCTCCTCTCGTGCCTCCCTCTGGTGGCTCTTCTGTCTCTTCCTGTTTAAATCCCTAGAAATGTAGGACTGGGGAGGCTACCAGCCACCTTGCTCGCATTTATTCAACAACTCTGACAAGTAACAGAACACTTGCACAACTTGTCAAGCAATCCAAAGACACATTGAGTAAGTAACAGTAACAGTCTGACACATTTCTAGCTACAGTTTGTTTCTCATAATGTATCCTGTTGTGAGTAAGAGTCCCCAGCCTATTGCACAAAATACGTTTTTTTTTTTTACTGTGGCAGGACTGCTGAACCTGTGCTGCTTTCAGTCTGCTTCATTTCTGCGTTTTGTGCTGAGCAGCTGCTCAGCTCTTTAACAGACCATTAGCAGGCTCAGTCTTGCCACGAAGGAGCTTGTCGTGTTGAAGTACTGCAGAGCAGCTGTGGGTGGGGTGCAGCCCTGATCTGTAGCCTTCTGAGCACACAGCTATCCTAGACGGCACCATGACAGGCACTAAGAAAAACCATCTGGAAACTTTTTTCAAGGCAAAAGTAACATAACTCACCACAAACGCAGATGCGATTAAGATCCCTACAAGATCATTATTATTATTATTATTATTCTTTATTGTTCAATTTGAAGTTTGCATTGTGGACATTGGCAAAGGTTAGCAGCAGCCACAAGCATCTTCCAAATTAAATTTGCATCCCATCTGATCCCCATCCTGAAAAACAAAACATGGGAAGCTCCTGCCCCTTTCATCATTGATCAGAGCTCTTGCAGAGATGAGGGGAAGTCATCCCCACTGTTCACTTTTATTGGTGGCATTAACAATTCATGAGTTCCTAATGGAAAAACAAAATTCCTATTTTTAATTACTTAATCCTTTTATAAAGAAGAGGGGGACCAAATGCATCTGCTGCCTCCTCCTGCTGTCACATACAAGACCCCGGCTCAAATTAAGGTTATTCTACACCCAAGGAGCAAGAGTGGTAAATATTCTTTGAATCTCTGTGCTGCTCATCTTAAAGGAACAGATCGGTTCAGGGAAAAGCACAAATTAAAAGTTATTGAAAAAAGGAAAGGAGGTCTTTTGCAGTATATTCAGTGAAGCCGGAAGAGCCACAGGTTGAAATTTAAGTATCATGGGAACACATTTATTAATTAAAAGCTTACGCTAAAAAAAAAACCCATTTAGATAAATATTTGTTTTGATTTTGAAGCGAGGATTTCTGAGCAAAAGGCAAGAGTGTGGAGGAAGGGAAGGGAGTGAAGGTTTCTCTTTCTGTTTTTATGGAGAAGCAGGCTGAAATGTGTTACGTGATTTGAATGTAGATCATTGAGTTGTTAGGATAGGAACCAGAAATATTTAGTGCTCTTCTGCCTGAGCAGGAAATCCAGGCTGTTTTTATTTTGGTCATATTTTCCACATTATGAAATCCCAGGAGGGAAATGGAATGATGTTCTGATTGGAGCTTTGAAGTAACTAACCTGATTGCACTTGAATTTCAGACAAATTGGTCTTTGAAAAAGCAAACAGAATGTTACAGAAGTGATAGGTGGGATTATCCAGTCAGAGCTCCAATGACCTTGTACGAGCAGAAGGGCAGAACTGATGCTGGGCTGGGATTAGGCTGCCGGAGCACTTCATGTACTGTAAGGTTTTGCAGAGTGCTGCAAGAGTTTGGCGAATTCAGTGCCCGTTAGCCATCTGCGTAAATGGTCTGGACACTTACAGCGACTCACCCAGTCTTTCATCTGGAATGACTTCCAGCGCCGCTCCCCGAGCCCAGGCAATATACCATCCTGAAAAGGCCTCAGCAGCACGTCAGTGCCGTGTGCTGTGAAGGATGAACTTTGAAGGTGTTTTCATGAATGTTTTAATCCCCCAGCTTGGTGGCTGTCTGTGTTTTGGTGGGCGCAGGGCATTTTTTATGCATGAACCCCAGCGCCGCTCCCCGCACCCCCCCATCCCCACGGTTTGGGCTCGAGGAATGGTGCTAATTAGCGTTGCCTCTCTTCCTGTCGACAGCTGCAGCGCTCCGGGGGGTCGGTTATCCGTGTGACACGGTGACGGGCCGCGCTGACGTCGCTCCCCCCACGGGGGCGCCCCTCAGGCAGCCACACGCCGCGGAAAGAGCGAAACGTGCGCGTCAGCCGCTGACTGCGCGTGGCTCTGGAGAGCAGCCACTCGTGACGGCCAGGGGTGGTTTCCCTGGCTGTGATTCACCCTGTGTCTGCTCAAGCAGATAGGCAAGAGAGGCAATAGGCATTTAAGAAAATAAGGCTTGGTCAACAAATCTTCTCTTGAGTGCCTTGGCCTGCCAGAGAGGGAACTTGAGAAGCATCGTGTAGGTGGAAGAATACATGAAAAACGATTGATTCAAAACCTAAGTAATGTGTACAGTACAGACTGGCAGACAGGGGACGGTGACGTGCTCCCGGCCTGTTCTGTGGCGAACAGCTGTGTTGGGGCAGCAGTCCCTGCCCTGTGTCTGGGGGAGAGCCGTCTCTTCTGGATCTGACTCCAGCTGAGCTCTTACTCGCAGACGCGTAGGGGTCCGTTTTCTAAAGGCGGCGTATTGGTCAATTTGCTTTCAACTCTTAAAAGGTCAGGTCGGATTTGTAATTGCTATCAAGCCGGTACCGATGCCTCGGGTTTTAGAACGGTCCTTCTTCTTCAACAGTTTGTTGACTGAAACGTAACCAACTGGACCTCTGCAGAAGGGAGAGAGCTGCTGTCTCAGCAACTGGTCAGAAACCTCGGTCATCAAGCAGGGAAGTAGCTGTGGACGGTTCTGTGTGCCAAGGCCGTTTCCTCGAAATCACTCGAAACTGACCGAAGAAAGTACTCTGAATGAAAGTCTGAACATGCAAGTGGATCAGCTTGGTCATCGACGAACACTGGAGGTTTAGAGCTCAACCGTTAACCAGCAGACTCCGTGCTCCTCCAGGACAGGGCTGGGAACCACAGGAGGGTGGAACATGAAGGGCTGACCCAGTGGGGCCTGTGTGCCCAACAGCGGACGGGGTTGAGCTGCAGTTGGCTGGCGATGGCCGGTTTTCAGTCTCTCCACTCCAGTCGCACGGACCAGCCCCTCCCCTCCCCCCTGAGTTATTATCCGGAGCCTTGAGACTGGTTTTGTTAGAATCCAGGGGCTGCTCTGCGGTGGTGCACGGGTTCTGGACCCGGCAGGACCTGGTGCAGGCGTGAGAGACAGAGCACAGCCTTATAGCTTTGGAAGGAGTGACAGCAAACCCTTTCTTCTAAGGAGAACACGTCTCAACCATATGCTAATGGCTCTACAGTTTTAGGTCTCACCTAACATGTAACAGCAGCCATGATGCAGTAGTTCTGTTTTGTATAGGATTATTTTTTTGTGTGTAGGAAGCAGATTCGTTTTTTTTTTAATTCATTTCTCTCCCAGCCAGCACACAGCACAAATAGCATAATATATGATAAACGCATATGACGAATTATAACAAATGGCAACCGTGCATATGATCAATTATTATATCGTCCCCACAGGTGTTCCCTGAACAGCCAGCCCCGGGAGCAAAAAAATAAATACATTTAAATAATAAGACACGTGCGTCAAAACTCGGTAAAATACATCTTTTTTCATTTTATTGTATTTTGGCCGGAACAGCGTTTCAGCCTACGCAGGAAAGGGTCGTTTTTTTCCCCTTTCTTAATGCCACACCATTAAAATTAAAATTGGGCAATATTGTAGGAAAGCTGGTGAGAGGGAGAGAGAGCCTGAGAGCTTAGCTTCTCTCTCCCTCCTCCTCATCACTGCGGGCTGTTCCACTGCCACAGCGGGGAGCAGTCCTGCTACCACGCCGCGCCGGACTGCGGCAGGACCAGGCCGGGGAGCAGACTGGACTCCCGACCGCTGCCGGGGAGGGGGGGGGG